AAAAATGAAAAGCAGCCGCAAGTGCGGAGCGGGGGGTGGCGGTCGGTGGTCGGTGCTGCTCCCGGCGCCGGGCCCCGCCGCCGAGTCCCCGGGATGTCCCGGCCGCTCAGGGGCTGCCGTTCAGTAGCGGCTCCGAAAGGCTTCCCGCGTTGCCACGGCGACGCTCCGCCCCGTCGCCAGCTCCCGGCCCTGCCATTGGTCCCGGCACCTGCCAATCTGGCTGGGACGGGGCCATCTGGGGACCGATCCCGGGCTGGGGGAGCCCCTGGAGGGGTCGGACGCGCTGGGCTGTGTCAAAAGAATCCTTATCCTCATTTTTCTGCCTTCTCAGAAATCATGTTCCTCTGGATCAGGACATTCTCCTGCAAAAACGTACCTGAATGCAGCGAGATCTCGAGGCCTTCTGAAGAGCAGCTTCTCCCTTTTCAGGATTTGGCCACCTGCAAGCCACTGCTCCTCGCCCCCCCCTCACTTTGGATCACCCCTCTCCATTATAACTAAATTATAACCGCGCCTTACTGCCCTCCTCACCTTTGAGGCATCATCTCCCAGCATGATTTTCTTCCCTAGCACTGGAAGGATTTCTCCAGCACCAGCACAGAGCTCCTTAATGCTCCTCTCCTCCTCCAGGAAAAGTCCCCTTGGGGTGTCCTCATCTGTCCTAGCAGTGCCAGGGGCCACAGAGTCTGTGCCATCTGCTCGGCCACCTGCGCCCCACACCAGGAAGATGCTGCTACCCCAGGCCAGACTCTTCCTGCTGAGGTTTTGTTTGTATTTGCACCTTCTCCATCGCAATAGGGGTTGGAGGAGGCAGGATTTGGGGTGGTTGGGTGATGTGGCTTGGAAGGACCTTGGGAAGTGGTTTAGGAGATTTGAAGTAGCTGGGCTGGTTTTTGGGGAGGTCCCTCAGTGATGGGTAGGTGGATACTCCCAGCCAAAAAGGGTGTCCAGCCACTGACCCCCCAGACCCCGACTGTCTTTGCCTTGTAACCACGAAACAGTTCTGGACTCTTTGTCGACAGAAGATATCCTTTATTAAACATACTCTTAAAATCCAAAACATGCTCAAAACAAAGTCATAAGCAGCAATCTTTTTTCCTTCCTTAAAGCCCTGACACATGGATTGCTGGAACAAGGGGCTGCCCCATGAGACAAGGGGCTGTTGCCTTTCACCTCACGCTGCCAGCACTGGAGGCTTCTGCCTGCCCTTCATCCCTTCTGGGTGGGCAGGGACGGTTCTGGTGTCACCCAACCCAAATCCCATCTCTCCTGTGCCATGGCAGAGGATGTTTATTTGGATTCACCATGGCAGCAGCACACTGCTTGGCTGCAGTGTCCCCCCAACTCCTCTCCGTTGTCGTGCACTCACCGGCAGCCACGGTCCCTCTGAGTGAGCAGTAGGTGCCTGCATGCAGCTGCCCCGGTCTGCAGCCACCCCATGAGCTTGCTCGGCTGCTCCTGCAGCCTTGGGGACACTCAGCTTGGAGCAGCCAGGAAACCGTCCTGCTCACCCTCCCGGGACCCTCCTGAGCAAGGACCTGCCTGTTCTGCCAGCAGCCACAAGTGCCGTCGCAGCCCTACACCATGGTGCCTGGCCAGGCCTGGAGAGCTCTCGTTGTCCCCTTTGAAACCACGAGGAAAGCTGGGCTTTGGTAAACAAGCCACCCCTGGAGCATCGGCCTGATTTTTCCTCCCCTGCCCATGCTGGAGGGCTGGGGAACAGCTGGCCTCCTGCAGCCCCCCTGGTTTTCTCAGCTCAGCGTGACAGTGAACCCCAAAGCTCTCCCCGTGCTCGGCACGGTGCTGCTGGTTCCTCGGGGCTAGGACACCCAAACCCGTGGGTTACCCCAGCACAGCACAGGGCAGCATGTCCCCACGGGCGTGTCCCCAAATGGGGTGCAAGGCTTGTTCCCACCACTCCAGCCCTCTCTGCTGTCAAAAGCTCCCATCCCACAGGATGACAGTTTGGAGGTGTCACCCCTCATCAAGCACCCAGCCCTGGTGAGCTTACAGGAGACATGGTGAGGTGTCAGCCCAGAGGAAGGACCAGAGGGGTGTCCAACACTGACCCCACCTCCAGCAGGACCCACACCAGGGCCACAGAGCAAGCAGCTACCGCAGCCCTGTCTGGAAACCAGGCAGAGAAACCACCACCACACCCAGCCCCAAAAAGAGCTTTCTATCCCTCTTTTAGGAGCCACAGCCATCAGCAGAGCCTGTGCTCCTTCGTGGGGATGGGCAGCAGGGACCTGCTCTCCACACACACCCCATGGCCACTGCGGGCTGTTGCTTTCACTGGATGAACACCTCTGTCTTAAGGTAGCAGTTTCCTCCTGCAAAGTGGAGGTGACCTTTGCTATCGCATCTGTGTGATAAAACCAGGTGGGGAAAGGGGAGCTCAGCCTCCCACCCTGGGGTGGCCCAAACAGCTCCAAGAGCTCACTAGATTGGGATGCTGGGTCTGGTGCTCCTCAAAGTGGCTTCTGACTGTCCCTGATGCTTTCTAGGGTGGATCTTGGCCTCTGATGACAAACTCATCAGGTCCCCGAGGGCTGTGGCTATGTTTCTACCCCATTGGTGTCCCTGTGTGTGTGTCCCATGGAGCTAAATCCACTTATGCTGTCAGCCCAGTGCTGGCCAGAGGGATGGGGACCGAGGAGTGGGGACGGATGGGTGGGGGGCAGCTCCCGCGCCCTTACCCACCCCCTGCTACAAAGTGCAATGGAGAGGGCAGGACAGGTGGGACAAGGAGTGACACTTTTGGCACTTATTTCAGAGAGAGGGCACAGCCCCGAGCCCCGAGCTCACAGTGGGGCGGAAGACAGTGAGGATAAATTAGCGATGCCACAGGGGCTGGTGACTGGGGAGGGGGTACCAAGTCCCCTGCCCACCCCTGCCACCCTGCTCTGTCCCCTGGGGAAAAGCAACCTCGTGGGCCTGGCCCAAAAGCCCACGAGCTGCTCAGGAGAAGAGTGGAGGGAGGGGGAGCAGGGGGGGACCATCACCACCAGTGCATTAATGGGAACATCCTACAGCATGACAGGGGCACAGGCCATCAAACCTGGGGGGGCCAGCCCCCCCATGAAGGTCACAGGCTCATGCACTGAGGATGTCAATGCCAACACTCCTCCTCAACCCGCACCCCTGGGCACCCTCCTCCCGTTGTCCCCCTCAGCCACATCCCACGACCCCCTTTGTGGGGTGACCCCATCCCACCTGCTCCACACGCTGGAGGAGAGGAGCCTGGGTGTGAGAGGAGCCTGGGGGCAGGAGGGGACTCCAGCCCGTCCCCATCGGGGCTGGAGGATGGGAAGGTCCTGCTGGGGGGGGGCCCAACATGAAGTGTCTCTCGGCTCCTCTCTGCACAGGGGGCGCAGGGAGGAAAAGTCAAGGTTACCGTCTTTTCTTTCAATAACCAGTCCTGTTACAGATGAGGGGTGGAGGTGGTGATGCCCACAGCGCCCAGGCACCAGGGCCCCTCTGGTGGGCAGGGGGGCTCGTGCCCCGCCAAGGCTGAGCCCTCACACAGGCAGGGTGGCCGCTGCCTGCTCCAGGTCTCGGGTGCCAGGGGGGCGGCGGGGCCGGGGCGCCTGCTGCAGCCGCACATTGCTGTTGGCTGCCTCTGGGCCTGGGGGGAGAAAATGGGGTGTTAGGGGCTCCCAAAGCCCATCACTGCGCTCAGCTCATCTTTCCACAGGGCATGCAATTTAGTCTCCCCAAATAACCCCCATGTCCCCAGCCCCTCTTGGGGTTTTGGCTGCAGTGAGGGCTGGTGAGCACCTGCACTTACCTCTCCAGGCTGGGGGAGCCCCTTAAACCCCTAATTTCTCAGGAATGCCAAGGGGCAAATGGGAAGCACTGCACACCATGGCCAGGTTTTAATAACTCAAAGGGAAGGGGGCTGCCTCTGCCCACCGTGCCCAGCAAGAGGACACATGCAGATGCCGGATGGGGGCTGTGGGTTAGGCACTAAGGGGTGTCACCCTGCCCAGGACAGTGAAGAGACTGCCAGCAATGCCAGGGTGAGGGGTTCCAACCCCCCCCGGGTGATAGGGCGCGAGGCGGGCGCAAGCTCTGGGAGTCTCATACCTATTCCTCCATGTTAATGGGGCAGGAGTCCGGCACGGCGGCTGCGGGGCAGGAGAGACCAGAAGGCACATGGTGAAGGGGGGAGCGGAAGCAGCGCGAGGGCATGCACATGAGCAGGCAAATGGGGCAACTACGGGGGGATGGGGGATCTCGCCGCCTGCAAATGGGTCTGGGATGAGGACGGGGAGCCGTGGTGTGAGGGGGCCGTCATGCATGCTGGCCCCCGGGTTTTGTGCCAAGGAGAACCAAGGGGTGGGCATGCTTGTGGCATGGGGGACACAGGTCCCTGCACATCTCCTCTCTGGCAAGCACGCTCCCGGTTCAGGCAGCACCCTCCAGCTGGAGTAGGGCGACAGGCAGAGCCTGGGACCTGCCTGCCCACAGCTTGCATCCCGCCACCCAAACTATCAGAGACTACGTGGTGCCCTTAGGAAGTGGGTGCACCCCTAAAGCAGAGCTTAACCACCAGAGAGATTAAGCCCTGTGCCCAGGTGTGGGGACAGCTCTGAGCCCAGGGGGGCACATGCAAGGGCACCCCAAGGCCAAGCAGTGAGGCTTCCTCAGAGAGGGAGCAACAAAAACCCTCTGCCTGCTGATTTATGGGAGGTGACAGCTGCTGTTTGGTCTGGCTTTTCATGACAAGCTCAGGCTGGAGAGCAAGGCACGTTAATTCTGTGGATCCCGGAGGGAACAGAGAATTAAACAGGAGCACACATACACACGCCCATATACACACGCACACCAAAATCCCATTAAAAGCTTGATGTTGCATAAGTCCCTGCAGTGCTCTGCTGCAGAGACCCAGCTCAGCTCAGCACACCCTTTGTAGGCTGCCGAGGAGCAGGGCTGGGGGCAGCAGGACACAGTCTGGCTCTGCAGCAGAGACCCAGGCCTATGGCCACCTGCCTCTTCTCCCCTTGGGCTGCAGGAGGGGGCTCCCCCCCACCATCAGCAGCCGTCAGACCTGCCCTGCACAGACCAGCTCCCAAAGAGCATCACGGCAAAACCCAACCGGCTAGTCCGGCCTGCTGTGGTATGGCTTACAGCTCGGATCATCTGTGGGTTGAAACCAGCAAAAACCCTCGGGGGATTTCAGGTCTTCTTCTGCCTTCCATGCAGCAGCTCCCCAACCCTCCCCACCTTGCTACCAGCCTTTTTGTCAGGCGCCTTCCCCCAGTTTCTCTTTCCAAGGCCACCCTGTCCCTGGTAGAGGATCTGGCCGCGGCCAGAGGGTGCTCTGAGCCCTGGGGACAGCCCCTGACACCTGCTGCACGCCCCAGGGCCGGGCCAGATCCCCTTGAGGACACAGGTCTGCGGGTGGCCTTTCAACTCCTCCCAAAGCCCTCTCCCTCCAGATTGAAATCTGCAGAGATTTCACAACAGTCCTGGGGATGAGCAAACCTTTCTGTTTACAGGAATCACATCCTGTGCCTTTATTCATTACAGAGACAGCAAAAACCAACCCATGGGACTTATCACATCAAAATCTCCTCAAAGTGAAATTGGGGGAGGAATAATAATAATAATATAATCACTGGTCAAGGTGATTTTCTTTTTAAGATTTCAAGAAAACAAAATGGCCCCAAAATAAAAGTCCACCCTGTTCTTGCCGGGCCCATGGATAGAGTTACATCCAGACCTGCAAGAAACCTCTGCCAAAAAGGACTTTTTCAGTGCATGGAAACCAGCCCTGCAATTGCAGTCCAGCACCACAGGTATTAAATTGTGCCTCAAATCATCTCCATCGCAAAGCAGCTGAGTCCTGACAGTGGGTGGCTGCTGACGGGGAGCAGACGGGGTTGGGAAGGAAGGAGCTGCCCTGAATCTAATGAATAAAACCAATGTTGCAAAACACCAATTGCAAACAGAAAATGACCAACCAGCCGTTACAGCCCATGGGCAGCTGCTCTCTTTTGCTGCCCTAGCCCCCTCGGGCTCTGCTGAGCACCCCCAGACACCCCAGGGCAATCCTCCTCCAACTCATCCTCCCGAAGCCCCCACTATGCACCTCCTCTTCCCCCAGTGCGAGCGGCAGCCCCCCCACTTTCCCCAGCGAATGCCGAGGCTGGATCCATCACCCCTCTCATGCGGGCGGCAGCGCGGCGCCTGCCGAGGGCTCCCTGCTGAGGGCTCCAAGCAGCACAGCCACTGGACACACGGACAGCTGTGGTGGCCAAAGGATGGCGAGTGCATCCTTGGCTGGTCTCGGCCCAGGGGCCAGATTCTGCACCCCAGCCCAGGTGGGGGATGAGGCCACTGCAGGCCTCATGGCAGAGCATGAATTTGCCCCCGTGCCGGGGCCATTTGGGCTGCAAAGCTCTCCCTTCCTCATCCTCCCCCCGGCACAACCAAGGGGGACGCAGTCAGGGATGGCTTTGGCTGGTGCCACAGCCAGGGGATGCTTTGCCAGGACCCCCAGCAAAGGCAGGGGCATTGCTGGGCCCCCCCCAGCCCCTGCCCCAGTCCCCCCCGGCCAGCAGGGCTCAGCCAGTTGCTGTCAGAGGGTGATGGAGGGGACATGGGGCATTTGTGGCAGGCGCCTGTTTCTCCCCAAGAGCCTCAGCTCAATTTCTCCAGTGCAGAAACCACCAGGAACAGGCAAGGCAGCAGAAGAGGAAGCTTTCCCAGAGGAGAAGGGGGTAAGAAAGAATTTCCCCTCCCTCCAGTGGGTTTCACCCTCCCTCTTGGCACTCCAGCAGCCACTGTGGGTCTGGGACCTGCCACAAATTTAACCAAAGGGGCAAGGCAAGGGCAGAGTTGCTTTCAGCTTGTCCACAAATGTATTGATGGAGACTTAGACCCTCAGGGGGCTTCATCGTGGCTTTTTGTCCCATTTTCCCACCAACACAGGCTGACAAAGAGGACCCTGCAGCACTGCTCAGGGTCTCCAGCCCACTCCCTCCTTGGTCTAATGGGGACCAGGGGTCACCAATACATTTGTCACCTTTGGGCAACTCTGGGCAGGGAGAGGACACAAGCATGGGTTGAGAAAACCGTGCTGGCACAGAGCGAACATGAACTTTCATGCGGACGGAGAAGCCTGGGAGGGAGGAAGAAGAGAAAAAAGGGATGGAGATATGGTGGAAGGAAACAGAATTGGAAGGAGAGTGGGAGAGAAAGCGTGAAGAAATGGGAAAGAGGGATGAACTCTGGGGCTCTGCAGAACAACGTGACCTGATGTGCCCCATCTCCCTGGCCTTGGAGGAAGAGGAGGGGGAGGCAGGCAGCCCCTGCAGTGAGGCTGGACTGCCTGCAGATCACATCCCAACCCAAAATACTGCTGGGAGTCTGGACCAGGCCAGAGTGGTGCCACACAACTGCCTTCACAGGAAGGGCTGGTGCCCCCCAGGATCACCTCAGCGAAGGAAGACTGCAACCCCCCGAGGACAGGTCACCCTGACCTACAGCTGCGGGGTGGTGACACGCCTGGTGCTCAGCCCACCGTGGGGTTGGGGGGGTGGTGGTGCAGCGAGGACAAACTGGTGGGGATGCAGTGGTGGGGATGGTGGTGGGAGAGGAGGAATGGATGCAAAGGGCTGGGGTGATGCAGGGAAGAGTGGAAGTGTCCCCCCCACCCCAAGTTCATGTTCAGCAGACGGCCACTCACCAGGTAAGCAGGCCTCAGAGCACAGTTTATTGTCCAGCGCTTTCACGTGTGCGATGCCCAAGTCATTGTTATTGTCACACCTCAGACCGAGGAAAGCGCCTGTCCTCGGGCCTGGAAGGGAGTTAAGGCAGTTAATGCCGCAGCTCAGCGCTGGGGCTTGCCATTGCCTTTTTAGCAGTGGGGTGTGGGATTTCTGGGTCTTTTCCCTTTCCCCTCCCCACCCTCTTTCAAAAAAAATAGATTAAAATGATGCATCTAGATGGGAGTGGGTGAAGAGTGGACAATAACACCTGGGCACAGTCCGAGCTGCTCCTTTCCTTGCACCGGCCGCATCGGAGGGCAGCGAAACAGCAACTATGCGGCGATGGGCACCGGCACGCATGAATCTGCTCCCCCACCGCCTGCCCAGGGTTCAACCAAACCTTCCCCCCGGCATGGGGTGGCACCCGTCACCTCCTGTCGGAGCCTCTCCGGCACCATCAGCACATGTGTGAGAGCTGGGGGGATGCCGGGGGGAGGCAGCAACTGGATGCGTGGGGCAAAAGAAGCCATAGCCAAGCTTTGCAGAGGGGCTGGAGGCTTTCGAGGCTGAGGGAGATAACTCTGCTTCTTAGCATCACCTGTATAAGAAATCAGCCCCCAGGTTCTTACCTGCATCCAACAGATGCAGGCAACTAAACCTCAGGGGGGATGTTCCCAAATAAGCCAGTAACCCCGATGAGAATGGGAGCAGGACTGTGTCTTAAGGAGAAAGGCTGTCCTGCTCCTGGAGCTTTTGGGGTGCCCATAGATATCCACCACAGCCCCCAGTTGCTCCCCAGTTGTCATATTTGAGTTTCTTCAAAAGCAAGAGCCTCCCCACAGGGCGGTGGCCAAGTTTGAGGGATGGGTGTTCCTGCTTTCCAGCTCAGATGAGTGTCCAGGTCAGATAGGGGAAGAGTTTTGGTACGTTTTTTGCTAACCAGACTTGCAAACATGGGAGGGGGCACACTGAGGGCCTCCCTACTGCCCAAAAGAAATTCAACGTGGCTGGAACCCAATGGCATGGGGGTGACTGTGCCTTTCCTTTGCTATTTGAGCTGAAGGGAGGAGGTGAGAGGAGCCCTCAACGTGCCTGTGTGGGCTTGCGAAAGCACATTGAGGACAGGCCAAAAAAAATTAGGAGAGCAACCCACAGGGAAGATTTTTAGAGCCCCTTCCTACGGGAACCAGCCCAGACAGGGGTCCCTAAGCAGGACACTTTCAGAGATGTGAGGAAACACCTTCTCGGCAAGGGGAAAAGCACAGAGAAGCTTCTTTCCCACTTGGCCTGTTGGAAACACCATCGGATCCTGCATGCCAACCGTCACCCCACACCACGCTCACCAAGGTCCCTGTGGCCAGCTGGCTTCCCCCCACCCACTGATGTTCAACCCCGCCATGGGTGGCCCCGCTGTGACAGATGCTTGCCCAGCCCCAGTGCCCACAGAGTCAGGCAGGGCTCTCCCCGATGGCAGCCAGCAGGCAGGGGAGCTGGGGGCAGCACAGCATCTGCTGTTGGCTCAGCTGCCCAGTGGTGACAGCGAACTGAAAGTGAGGGGACAACAACGACCTGGGACATTTTACCGTCTTCCTGCGTGGGAGAGGCATCCTCATCCTCCAGCATGTCGTTGCCCTGCGGCACAGGCGAGAGGCAGCCAGCGTTAGCAGCCCCGCGGCGTCCCGGCACCGTGCTGGGGACTGTCCCCAGGTCCCTTTGGGGGAATGTCCCTGGCCCCGGGGGTTTCCGTGGAACAGGAGGATGGTCCTGGATAGGGGACAGCCCCACTGCCCCATCCGTCCCCAGGGTAGCCCCACAGGGACATGGATGTGTGGGCAGCCCCTTCCCTAGCCCAGTCCTGGGGGAATGTGGTGACAGCCACCCAGCTTCCCCCTCCGTTGGCACCCAGAGCTGGGCACAGCCGGGGTCCCCCTGCCATGCCAGGGTGCAGGGGAGTTATGGTTACCTCGGCGTCGCGCTCCTCAGCTGAGATGCTGACAAAGTTTATATCCAGGGACTCCACAGGTGTTGACTGTTGGGAGAAGGTGGAAAAGATGGAAAAAAAATAAATAGTCTGCTGCTGGGTGGTTTGGAGAAGTTACATCCCATGGGGAAGCTCTTGAACCCAGGGCCTATGGGCAGCATCAACAACCCCCAGCCCCTACCTCTCCATCAGAGGCTGTGGCGCTGGCAGCTGCGGGTGAAGGGAGCATGTCCCCTTCCTCCTCCTCCTCCTCCGTGCCGGGAGCAACGTAGGAGCCAGACATGGAGGACACGGTGTCGGTGCTGAGCTGGGAGTGCTGGCTCTGGGAGGAGGCCATGGACATGACGGACTGAGCCAGGCTGCTGCTGACGGGCTCTGGGGGAGAGCAGGGGCTGAGCGGGGCTGACAGACCCCCCCAGCCCACTGGTGCGAGTTGCAGCACAGCATCAGCTAATTAAACACAAGGCTAACGAGGATGAGCAGGACAAGGAGCAAGGACCTGCTGCATGCCACAGGGGTGTGATGAGGGGAAAGCTGCCAGCAGAGTCCCTGGAAATTGCAGGCCCCCATATCTGGGTCTGTGGGGTGATGAGGCAGGGGCAGTCAATGCCCCCATGCCCCCCATCTTCAGGTCTGTGGGTGACAAAGCAGAGGTGACACCCTGGGGCTTCACACAATGTCCATAGCAGGGTAGAGAGGGGCCATGTAAACCCCCTCCGCATCCCCCCGCAGCAGGACGGATCCGAGACCACGATGCCACTCTCCTGCCTTGCCAGCACCCGTGAGCCCCGCTGTGCTGTACCTTCTGGGGATGAGATGGTGGAGGAGAGGGGGGTCCCAGTGCAGGAGGACTGGTCGATGGCTCCTGACGATGACAGGGTGAGGTTTTCACTCTCCGGTGTCGCACCGCATTCCTGGAAGAAAGGCCCGTGGGGAGGATGGGATGAGGGATATTTGGCACAGAATGGATCCATCTCCTCCAGGCATCCTTAAGGATGAAGGAAGAGCCAGGAGGGCCAAACCCCAGGCAGACCCTCTGGTCCTAGGCCTCCCCAAAACCTGCCACCCTCCACCCCGTCCCTCGGCTCATCACCAGCACATTTTGGAGAGTGCTCACCTCCTCATGCCGGGCAGGGGATCTTCTCCTGGAGACCCTCAGCTCCGATTCAGTGCACGACTTCTCGTCCTCCTCTTCAGGCAGGATGGAGGAGTTCTGCGAGATGGACCTGCCCAGGGCAGGGCAGGGGCAAAGCAGAGGGCTTCACCCCTGCCCACAGCCCCCAGATCCCCCTGAACCCCCCAGACCCCTGCGCTCATTCGGGTACTCACTTGGAGAGGCTCTTCTTCAGCTTGAGCCCTGGGGGGCCACAGTCGGGGAGACGCTCAAGGGGCGAGAGGGCCCGCAGGGGGGGCAGGGGGCCGTCGCTGCCATAGGAGGGGAGGGTCCCCGCGCCCGGGGGGTCCCCCAGTGCGCGAAGAGGCAGGGCAGCCGGCGATGGCGTCAGCGGCCCGTTGAGGGCCTCCAGCAGCGACACCACCTCGTAGCCTGGGGGGATGTTCTCTGAGGACTGGGGAGAGGGGGGAAAGGGAATGAGGGTCCCCTCCAGGCCATTTTGCTGCCCCCACCTCTGTTCTCCACAGGATCGGAATGCCCCAGGGAGAAGCCAAACCCCAGAGAATACATAAACTACCTGCACAAATGAAAGCCCAAATCCACCATCTTTATACCCAGTCAAAAGCCCTTTTTTTGCAATATCAAACGAGGTTTTTTTCAAGATCAATTTGCATTCAGGATCAATTTGCAAATAAACCCTGGCCCCTGGAAACATGTGCATCCCCAAACCTCCCTGGCTTGGCCCCAGCTGGGCACTTACCGAGTGTTCCTCGGAGTCAGAGGTCTGCGAGGCGATGATGGGGTTGAAGCTGGTGGGTGAGAGGGGGCCCAGCTTTTTCCTCATGGCTCGGATTTGAAGCAAGGCTCGGAAAGCTGCGACAGCAGGGATGAAAGGTGAGGTGAAAGCTGGGCACTAAAAGGAGCAAAACACCACTCCATTTCCCAGGAGAGGCATCCCCATACTGTACAGCATGGCTGCACGTGGGGCTGGAGGAACCCAAAAGCTCAAGGATGGGAGATGCCAGCTGCCTCCCAGAGATGCCGACCCCCACCCTGAGATGCCAATCCCCCCCCAGCCCTTACGCAGCCTGCAGATGGGGCAGTTGTTGGCCTGGTAGCGCAGGGTGTCGGCGCAGGTGTTGCAGAGGCAGAGGTGGCGGCAGGGCAGGATGAGGGTGTCACGGACGTCCGAGAGGCAGACGACGCACTCAGCGCTGTTATCGCTCACCTCATCCTCGGCCACCTGCCCCAAGGGAGAGACAGGAACCGCTTGGCCTCAGTGTCTTCAGCCCATGTGGCATGAGGGCGGGTGCCCTAAAATACCGGCTGGGTGCCCTGAGAGCTCACTGCAGGGTCCCACTTGTGTCCTTGGGCTGCCTGCTCTTGAAACACAACCCTGGGATTTTATCCCTCCCCTCCTGGAGGCTGAGAGATGGGGCCAGAGGCATCAGGCACCCCACAGAGGGATGCATCCTTCACCCCAACTTTTACATATATAGAGCAGAGCATGAGGCACATCCCATGCTTTGAGCCCCACACTCCACGCCTAAACCAGCAAGATCTGTCCTCCACCTTCCCAAAGGACCACAAAGGATGGGGGGAAAAAGCTCAGTCCTTCAGCTTTGACATCAATACAGTGTCCCCAAACACCTGCACATCCCTGGCAGCTCCATGCTGTGCTGCAAACTCTTGTCCCGGGCGTGTCTTAGTGGCCAGACCTGTGCTAGGGGAAGGGAAGAGGGGATGTGAGAAGACCCACAGGATGCAGGCACGTACCTTGGAGTCCTGTGTGTTGTACTTGTTCTCGATGCCATAGATCTCCTGCAGCAGGTAGCTCACACCATCCACCTGCAAGCCCATGGGGAAGGGATGAGGAGCAGAGACATGCCCTCCCCAGCTACCACGGCTCCTGCTCCTCAGGCCAGCCCTCCTCACCCCAACATCTGTGGCTTCTCTTTGCATTGACGCACTCAAAATTGCACTTGAAAAGCTTCCTGGGAGGCAGGAGCAGGCTGCCACCCACACCGGGGTTTGCTACTCCCCAGAAGCCCCTCATCACCTTCCCCACAGGGATGTACGAGGCAGGGGCAGTAGCTGCCACCACCTCGGGGACACCCAGACACTCACCACTTGCTTCTGCTTGAGGGGCTTCACACAGAAGGTGCCGTCGCTGTGCTGGAGGGAGGAGAGCACATGGGTGGGCACCAGGGCTGAGCACCCCAGGGACCGCTGCCCCACCCACTCCGTAGCTGTTGCAGCTCCCTCCTCGCTCCCAACCAGCCTGTTTGGCAGCAATTCTGTTTTTTCCCTGACACCCTGGTACCAGGAAGGTGTGGGATGTCACACACATTGGAAGGTTGGAGACTTGTTGGAGCAAGGAAGATGGAGTTGAGTCCAAATGCCTCAAAAGTGGGTGCTTAAAATCAAGGATTTGGGGGAAAAATCAAGGATTGAGGGATATTCACAGAATCCTAGAATGGTTTGGATTGGAAGGGACCTTAAAGATCATCTAGTTCCAACCCCTCTGCCCCAGGCAGGCACACCTTCCACTAGCCCAGGTTGCCCAAAGCCCCATCCAACCTGGCCTTGAACCCTGCCAGGGAGGGGGCAGCCACAGCTTCTCTGGGCAACCTGTACCTGGGCCTCACCACCCTCATAGTTAATTTCTTCCTAATATCTAATCTAAATCTCCCCTCTTTCAGTTTAAAAACACCTCATCCTATCCCTACACACTCCCCATCTTTCCTGTAGCCCCTTTAAGTACTGAGAGGCCGCTCTAAGGTCTCCCCAGAGCCCTCTCTTCTCCAGCTAAACCCCCCCAACTCTCTCAGCCTGTCCTCACAGGGGGGTGCTCCAGCCCCCTGATCATCTTCATGGCCTCCTCTGGACCCACTCGAGAATTTCCAGAATTTCAGGAGTAGCCCCAGACTAGTCCCAACCCAGCAGCACTATTATGAGCCCTGCAGGGTTTCTCCAGGCTCTCACACCTGGTGGGCAAGGGGGCAGGAGACGGAGGACAGCCCCAGGTTGGCACTTACCTTCTCAAAGGTGGCCAGCAGCACGTGGCAGTGCCCGGTGTGCTCTGCAAGACACAAAGGGACAGGCAGGGCTCAGGGAACATGCAGGGCTCAGGGGATGGGCAGAGCCACTCTGGCAATGAGGAGAATTAGAAGGCTCTGCCCAGTTGGTGCAAGGATTGACATCACAATGTCAGCAACTCAGAAAGCCCAAGCCAGCAAGGAACCCCCTCCTCACCCTCTCCTTCATCCACCACCGCATGCACCACCATGGGATACACCTCCCGATCCAGGTCGAAGCCCAGCTGGAGAGAGACAAGGCTTGGTGAGATGGAGCAGTGATGGAGGCTTCATCCCACATCCATAACTGTACCCGACCCCGTGGGTGACGCCACGGGCTGGTGGGACCCACCTCCTCCTCGCTCCACTCAGAGGGGTCGACGGTGTGGGAGGGCACGCAGAACTGCTGGCACACCCCCCGCTTGTAGTGCACTGTCTCTGACTGCAGGCTGTTGTCCCTGGGGATGTAGCTGTCCCATGGAGAGAGGACAGAGTCAGGGGCACCACGAGTGTCCCCATGCTCCTCCTGGTCTCCCAGCTCACAGGGATGCCGGGAGGATGCGACAGAGGGGTGTGACTCCTCCCCTTCCCTCCTGGATGCCTCTTGGGGACAAGGCAAGAAGTCCTAAAAAGAACTAAAATAATCCACAGGGCTAAAATAACCCCAAAGCAGCCAACACAGGACAGGGATAAACCTGCAGCCAACTAGGTGGGGACCAGGAGGGGCAATGATTTATCCTGGTCTCAGCTCTGGCCTGGAGGTAACAAGAGGAGCAGGATGGGACAGGGAAGGAGGTGGTGGGGGCTGGCAGGGACCTGGCAGTGGCGCTTGGAAGAGACAAGGACCCCCCTCCAGCTGCGGCACCATGGGGAGCTGCCTCATGCCCTGAGGAGGGGACATGCTCCAGGGAGGAGACACCATCTCCATCTCCATCAGCAGAGACCCACACCCTGGTCAGGAGGACATGTGCCAGGCTGGGGCTCCTCACCTCGCCACCCCGTTGTGAAACTCCTCGCTCGCCTGGTAGTAGATGGTTATGGCCACGCGGGCATCCGTGTCGAAGGTGAACTCCACGTTGTAGTGCACCTTGGCTTTGCTGACTTCTTCCCCCGGGGTCTTCACCTCTTCCGAGCACCTGGGGAACACAGGGGGTCCAGGAGACAGGCACCCCTCGGGGAGGGCTCGGGGTGCCCCAGGACTGATTCTCTGGCAGAGATGGTGCCCCCAGTGCAAGGTTCCCTTCGGCAACAATGGCCCTAAAAAGGGCTGCTCCCTCCATCAGGGGAAACTGAGGCACACCAGGAGGGACCAGCATGCCCAAGGTCAAGCCTGCAGACTGGAAAGCACCGCAGGCAGATTCCAGCCATAATCCTGAATCTCCCAGGATGTCTGCAATCCCCAGCCTCCCTCCAACAAAATCTTTGGAAGGTGGAGGAGAAAGAAAAAAACAAAGCACTTCAAAGGCAGCACTAAGCTCCTTTAATCCTGCAGTGGAGCCAGTGCAGCCAGAGCCTGCCAGGAACCTCACCCGTGCCGGGAGGGGAATGGGCACATTTAGACACCAAGGGCTCATCCCTCAGCCCGTGCTGAGATGAGAGCATCCTCATGCTCAGCATCCCTGGGAGCATCCAGCTGGACCCTTCCCTCTCCGTGGCTCACGGCCATGTGGGGACTCACTTGACAAGGCGCAGGGTGTCCTTGCGGATGTTGATTAAGCTCCTGAGAGTCTTCACGGGTTCCTGAGGAGGTGGAGCAGCGTAAGGGAACTAGGATGAGAGAGACACCGGTGAAGGCAGACACACACAGAGGGTGTTACAGAGGCCGTGGACCATGTCCCAGGACCCTCCAGTGACCCAGCCCCAACCTGGCACCCCATGTAACACAGGGACCGGGGGGGTGTGTGTGTAATCTGAATGGGTGCTGAGCACCTGCAGATCCTGCTGGCACTTGGGTACCAGGCAGTGTGATGACAGGGACATCCCTCCACAAAGAGCAAACCCAAAGGCTTTTGCAGGGGACAGTTTCACTGGAGGAGGGCATGCAGGGAGGGGCTGTTCCTTGTCCCTTTGGCTGGAGGGTGAGAGGGACACAGGGCACAGGGCAGGTGGTTGGCTGCTGATGTATTTTGAGGCTGCTGATGCAGCATTGAGCTGCTGGATGAGGCTGGGCAGAGGGAAGCTGAAGCTCCCTCCCTGCCTGGCAGCCGGGGAACCTGTCCTGTTTTCTCCCAAGGATGGATGGGATTCGGGTGGTGGGGTCTCTGCCAGCCCCATGCCCACAGCGGGGAGCTGATGGGGCAGCTGGCCAGGACCAGGTGGGCAGCAACGCTATGAGGAAGAGGTGCCAAGCCATCCTCCAAGGTGACCTTGTCCTTCCTGTCCACCTGCAGCCACCATGGGGGCTACAGAGCTTGCTGAGGAGAGGGGACACACTCTCCTTGGCACTGCAGCCACCCAAGGGAGATCAAGGGCACAGGGGAAGGGATGTGGGACCCATCTCCGCTCTCTCCATCTTCCAGGTATGTTGAGCCCCAGGAAGGGATCAGCCCCCCCAGGGGACAACATAAACACATGCTGGAGAGGCACAGGCTTAGGCTGGGATTAACACCTGGCTCGTTGGTGAGCTGTCACCATGTGCCAGGGGACAGCCAGAGCTAGGAGGGTGTCAGGTGCCATTGGGGATGGCAGATGCTCACAAGAACCAAAGAGCTGAAGCACTGCCTTAGGAAAGGGAAAAGGGAACCAAGCCAGGCTGCCTTCATCTCCCCGTGCTGCCCCCAGCCTGGGTAGGGGACACTTGGGGATGGTGAGGCACCTGCTGCACCCCGATAGCGAGGGGACAAGACTGAATTGCAGATGGCACCTGGGGATGCCCCGCGGGGAGCCAGGTGCCCATTTCTCATGTCCCTGGCGCCCTCGTGTGGGAAAGCCATGGTCATCTTCCCCACCTCCAAAGCCAGCATCATCTTCCCTGTTCCCAAAGCCAGTGTCACCTGTCACCTTCCCCATTCCCAAAGCCCCGCAGAGCAGGATGGATAGGGCTGGGGGACCCGTGCTGGGCTCAGCAGGATGGAACAGTCCAAGCAGCTCACAGGACCAGGCAGCACAAGCAGAGGCCTGCCCCATCCTTGTTCCACCATCCAGGCATCACCTCCCATGTCCCACCAGCAACAGCAAAAGGCAGGTTAAAACCTGGGCTGGACCCAGCCTGGCTGGTGGCACAGGGCACTATAAAGATCTGCTTGGAATTGCTGCCCCCTCCCTCCCCTCCAGGAGGGGCAAAGAGCAGCTGAGTCATTAATCTGGTGTTAATAAGCTTTTTAACGAGTCACTAAAGGTGCACCTGCAGAATTACCAGGTTGCAGCTGGAAAGGAGCAAGTGTAAAAAGGCCTCCAGGCTGGAGCTGAGCCATGTTGTGACATGCCCTGCCATATCACAATACATCCTCTGCTATTCAAATTAATGAAGCAATCCAATCTTGCTCATTTGCACCTTGGCCAGTTGAGATGTACCCAAACCAGCCCGCAGTAAGTGGCAGAGCTTGCCCTGGCAGGGAGACCACCCATGGGTGTGTAAGCCCCCTCCCACCGCAGCACCCAGGGGTGGGCGATGGAGCAGTAAAGGGGCAGCTGGGTCCCCTGGGTGCAGCCCTGCGGGGGCTGTTGGGCTGAGCAGGATGGGGAAGCACCACAGGCAAATTTCTTGCTGCAGAAACCACTTTGCTGTTGCGGTTAAGCTCTTCCACACCCACATCTGGGCTCTTTCTTGGGGGGGTTGGGGCTTTTTTTTGAATGAAATTTTGCAGGCCGGATTTCCACATCAGAAAGGGGTAGTTTAAAGGACTTTTTGCATCTACTCAATTTAAATCAAACTGAAAAACAACAGAAAAATCCTCATGTCAAATGTTACCCATTTAAAACCACCATCCATGCATCTATAGTGACATTTGGTCCAAACTGGCTTCTGTTAAAGTGAAAAAAGAATCTATTCAAAAATATCTCTTGGGTTTTTCCTACAAGCAGACCCAGGCTGGTTTTCATGGGCAGGGAAACCCAGCAGCACGTTTCAACAGTCCCTGGTTTCCCCGGAACACCCCATGATCTCCAAGTGCCACAAACAGCTTCTCTGCTCTCAGCCCCTGCAGAGATGTCCCAGCATGGTGGCAGCTACTAAACCTGCAACGCCCTTCCCAGCCCCTTAGGAACCAGTCCCGAGCTGGAAAATCCAGATTATCCCGTATCCAGGGTGGGGAGGGTCTGCACAGCCTCTGGGTGCTCGGCACATCCCTGCAGCAGCACTGTTACTAGCTCAGCCAAGGTGCTCAGAGAGGACTTGGGACACAATTTTTCCAAGGCTTCCTAGTCCTCTACACCCAAAGAACCCAAAATAAATCCTCCACCAAAAAGCACTGGACATCTCCAATGTTTCCAGCTCAGCCAGGGCTCTCACAGCACGCCAGACAGTGAGAGCATCACAGCCAAGAAGCATCAGGACAGGTTTTGGAGGTGGCAACAGAGATGCCCAAATGGTGTCTGGACACAGGCTTAGACCAGAAACAACACGGGTCCTCTCCGACCTCTCCGAGCCCCCAAAACTGGCCTGGGCCAAAGCCCAGCCCAAAAACGCCTGCCGCTCCCCAGGGAGATGGGACCTTGGTAACAGCTCAGGGCCATCGGTAATTAAGCTGGAGCAGTGCAATTTAGCTTGCAATGCTATATTAATTATTTCTGCTGTTTCCAAGCTGTTCCTTTACCTTTCCCGCTGCTTCTGCTGTCAGAGCGCCTGACTCGGAACTGCTCACTGGGCAGTTTAGAGGCTTTTACTGTCATCAAGGGGATTTCTCAGCACTTGATGCTGGAGGGAGAACCCCAGTGCTGACTTTCCATTTTCCAGGGAAGCACAGAGGATGGAAAGGTGCTGGCTTTGCCCACACAATGCCCATGGGTTCTGAGGAATGCTCCTGCCCTTGGCTTTACTGGGATCCCTGCCCCAGCACAGCCCAGGGCCGGGTGCTCCCTGTGGAAGGGCCATACGATGCTGCCAAAACACTGCTGAAGATGATTTCAAGGAGGAAACACAAACTGGGATGGCAGCAGCCTTGCCAGCCCAACACAGAGCAGGCAGCATTTGAGAGATGGGCCAATAGAGCAGGTAAATTTATCTCAACTCAACAGAAAAGCTTTAGTGCCTTTTAAGTCGTCACTTAATTTTATTTTTTTTTAAATACTTGAACCTCCTACTACTCCAACTGACGCTGGAGAGCCACCCTGCTGAGATGCACCTGGAAGAGCAAGGGACATTTAGCCCTACAGCCAAAACCTGCTGTGGGGACAGCCCCACTCTCATTTCCTCCCCTTTCAAAGGCAGAAGATACATTCCCAGGACCGTGGAGTCCAGGGATGTCCCCTGCAGCCTGGTTTCCCTGTGCCCTGAGGCCAGCTGGAGCTGGCAGCACCCACCACCGTAAAACCCATCAGTGCTGCCCACAGGCCCCACCAACCCTTTTTTTTTTTTTTTTTTCCTATTTGCTAGAGCTTGGGGAATACTTTCACCTGCTCCTGTCCATGCTACTTTACCCCACAGCACACCAGCACCACTCTAAGTATGTCCCCCACCCTGTGCTGCCTGGGCTGGGAAAGGCAAGAGAGAGTGAGAAAGGAGGAGTCGGGCTAAATCAGCCCATTGCCCCTCACCACCTTCACCAGCTGATGTTTTTAAGCTGGTGGGTTTGTGTGTGTAAGCAGCCCTTTGCAGGTCGGAAAATACACGCAGGTCTGATGAGCCACAACATGGGTATTGCAGAGAGTGGCACCCAAAGGCAGATGTCACATCACCGCCCCGTCCATCCACAACCACCTGCAAACCTATTCAACCCTTGCAACTCAAGTTAGGCACCGAGATGAGAGATATAGCAATAACATGTTGCTGTGGAGCGTGTAGATGCAGGCAGACAGGCTGAGAGGAGACCTGGGTTAGTCCCTGATGGAGGATAGGCTGCAGCAAGTAACCAACCCTTACATTAGACATTGGAGAATCCAGTCGGGCCACCCCAGGAGTTCTTGGCTGGCTCTGCCCTTGGGGGGTGACAGCCAGCAGCCTTATACCACGCACCCCCATGACACACACAGACACTGCCATTTTGGGAACCCAGACCCCGTGCCCCCCCCC